ATTGGTATGCGTTTCTAGATCTGCATATCCGTGTATGTATCTTAAAAACTGTTTACAGAGTTTGTATAGAGAGAGAGAGAGAAAGAGAGACAGTTTATAGTGACGCCTGCAATTCCAATCTATTACCACAGGGTTCAGTCTAGAGTGCTTTTCCTCTCGGAATCTGGCTCCCATTTTCCTCAATATATTGACTTATTGCTCAATCCAGGACTACGCATACAGTAGTCTCAGAATTGCCAATCCACCTTTCTGTGAAAAGCTAATCTACCAACTAGACTACAGTATTTGCATGCAGTTGTTTTGTTTTTATCCTTGGAATATGTAGTCAAAATGCTGTTTGACGGAGTTGCTTTAGTGCATTTGTGTTATTCATTTGTAATAAGTTAGGTTCACTTGTTTCTGCTTATATTTCGTTTTGTCTTTGTTGATTTTCAGTTTCCGTATGTGGAAGAAACATTTCTGTGGTTGTGAAAGTCAGCAGAGTCTAAGCTCTTAACTACAAGACTATTCAACTTCTCTTCCATTTCATTTCTCATTTACTCCCTTTCTCTGGGGCGGGGGAAGGGGATTTGGTGGATGTAAACTCAAATACAAAGGCACTGCAGGCCCTCCCTGGAGAGGCGCCCTCAGCCCAGCAGGTGCCAGTGCTGGGACTGTGATCTCTCTGCTCAGCTCTCTCACTTCAGGTTTCACAAATGGTTGTGGATCCTGCTTGACAGTCAGTGAAGTATGGAAAAGAGCCTTGGGGCCATGGCCTGTCATTTTCACTCCCTAGCCCTGCATGAAGGTGACATGGCTGAGTTTAGCTCTCACGGCTTGCGAGGGATTCCAGAGGGTGCCAGCATCGAGTTCCCTGTCCTGAGTGCAGAGCAGATGAGCCGCCTCTGGACTTTCCTTCAAGTCCATGAAAATATTTTGTAAATACAGCTCATTAAATATATTTGCAGAGCAGCAACAAGACAACGTTCCTGACCGAGGTAGATTTAGGTTCCTGTTCATTGGAGTGATGGGGTTCGTCCTCCTAGTGGCGAGTGGAAAGCCAAACGTATCTGGGGCTGCATCCTTCCGGGGAAGGAGATGAAAAGAAACGCCCCCCTTTTGATGTCCCTCTGACCAGCTGGTGTGCCTAATTGGCTTGTTCGTTAGGGTCTAGTGACTGACTTTTACTCTGTACGGATGGTCCTGTTGTGTAACTTTTGGAGTCTGCGACCGCTTTTGTTTTATGGAGGTCATGCGATGCTTTTCCAATTAAGTACTTGTGAAATGTTTATTCTGAAACAGATTGCTCCCTATTTGTGGTCAGCCGAGCAGAAGTGTGATTAATTTCGCTGTCACCTCTGCTGATCCGGGGACCTTTGGATTTGCCTCTGACTGTGCCGTGTTTTACTCTGATAATCTGGTCGTCTTGGCGAGGGCTGAGATGGGGGTGGGCAGAGTCATCCTCACGTGCTCCTTCCCTGTCTGTCTGGGGTGTGGTCACTGCAGCCAGCTGCTGGAGAGATGGGGGTGCCAGCAGGGCAAGGCCAGCCCATCTGCAGAGCCCACTGTGTTTGGGAAGTTCTTTCTCTTCCACGTCGCTCCTTTCATACTTCCTTGGGACTCATCCTTCGTCTGGAAGTCCTTCCTCTAACCAGGATGCCGGCTGTTGAGGGTCATCCTTGCAGCTCTGGCAGTCTTTGGCCCTGTTGTGATTTGTGGAGAGATCACTGGGAGTCCGTCACGAGGTGGAAGCGATGTCTTTGGAGGCTCTTTCTTACTGCGCTCTGCGTGTGGAGCATCCCACCCTGGGCGTCGCTCCCTTTGCCTCGGAGGAGGCTGGGGCCTGTGCTCAGGGTGAGGCCTGGGCGAGTGAGGGCGAGTGACACACTCCCCTGTGTCGTTGCCGGCATCATCTTCACGCCAGGGGCACATTCAGACTAATTGGTGGCTGAGGTGGTCTTCCAGGTGGGGCCTCTGCTGCCAGTGTCTGTTAGGGCCTGCAAGCTGCCAGTTTTCCGTGTGTGGGACACCTTGGCTTTCACAAGGAGTTGTTTCCTTCTTCCCAGGACCCAGGGATTTCCAAGTGCTTTTCAGGCCTGGTAGGTAGACATCTTCCTTAGATACAGAAAGAGTTGGAAAGCTCAGTATTTTCCAAATGAGAAAATCAAAGTGATGAGATCACCTAGCGCACTCCTGGCCCTTCCCCTGCCGGGGCAGCAGGTCTTCTGACCCCACGGATCCTCCTAGAAGACTGTGAATGCCGTGGGCAGAGCTGAGTTGACAGGGGTCCCTTGTCTCCCTGGAGATCTCTACAGTTTCCCCGGAAGTTTCCTGTGGACCCTCCTGAAAACCGGATGCTTCCTGGGGACATCTGCTGGCTGACAGACAGATTGGATGGGATTTTGAGTGTGTGATGTTAAAGCTGTTTGATCTCAGCCTCGGGGCTCTTAGGATCGTCCTCTGGTGAGGTTTATGCAGAAGCAGGGCAGCCTGTTTTGTGACGAGGTAAGAAGGAAAGGAGCATGCAGCAATCGGGGGTTTACCTTTGGGGTCCTGAGTGCAGTGGACTCTGGGGTACACGGTAGAAGCTGGTTTCTCTCTGGGGAGCGGCTAGACATCCAGAGGGAGCTGTGGTGGGCCACGAGGGCCAGGCCCCGTCTTATGGGTCTTTGTTACTGTTCCAAACAGGTTGAACTTCATCTTGCTAATGGTTGGGAGCCACGGGCACAGTATCACGTGATCAGATGTCCGTACTAGAGGAGCAACTCCCGTGGGTGGCTGTGTGACCGATGCATTTAAGAGATGTGGCAGGGTGCCTGCACAGGACAGGGCACTAATGAGCGGTGCTCAGAGGAGGGGAGGCCGCTGACCCCGCAGATGTTCGTGTGCTCTCTGTAGAGAACCATAGAGAGGACTCGCGGGCACTTAGTCTAAGATCACAGCAGCATCGGCATCGTTTAATGTTGTGTGCTTGCTCAAATCCTGATTCTTGCCCTGTGAGTGTGTGCAGGCATGTGGGTTGCCCATTTGTGTGTCGGTTTCTGTTGATGAGACTGTGTCAGGCCCCGGAACTCACTAGGCTCACTAGGCCTTACACCAGCTCCTCACGCACGCAGCTCTGCCGGTGGTCGGCTGAGTTTGTGCATGGGGGCTGGGGCAGCCATTAGATGTCCAGTTAGTGTGGGTGGACCCTGACTGTGGAGGTCGCTGTGTGGCCTCGTTATTGCACACCGGGGCTTTCCCTGAGCTTTGTGGCCAGCCTGACCTGACGTAATCCTGGTTTCCCAGTGGTCCCAGGCGCCCTGAAGTCAGCGCAGGGGGCCCAGGTAGAGCAGGACGCGTGAACGTCCTGAAGACTAGGCAGAGCCCCTTCCTGCCCCTCCCTCTGGGCCGGGGCCTCCCGCCCCCGTCCATGTGTCCAGAGCAGCCCCATGCCGCCCCCGGCCACTCTTGATGTGGGGAGTCACCTCCTCTGCCCTTTTGTTCCCATGCTTCTGTCTTGTCCCAGCAAGGATGTCAGCCCGGCAGTGCAGGGACCTCAGCTGTCTGTCCTTAGCAGGCAGAACAGCACTTACCTCTAGTGAGTGCTAAAGAAATACTTGTGAAATGAGTAAATGAGTGAATTTAGGAATTCTTACTGTGTCTGTGAGGATTACATTACCTAGAATCGCATTTCCTGGTTAAGATGACCAGCACTATAACAGAATATAAGGGTTTGCTCACGAGTGAAGCAAACACTTGTCAGCTTCTGTGTGCCAGGGATTAGGGGAGAGAACAGGGTCTGAGGTGACCTCAGGACACACTTAGGGGGCTCCTTGACCGTCTGCTTGGGAAAATACTTGGCAACTGACTGAATTTGAAGCCAGTAACTCCCATTTTTACTGAATTCCAAGCTTTTAAAGTCGATGCCCTCAGTTTCTCTGTAATTCATTGATGCATCCATGGACACACTTAAAGATCAAGTTATCGTAGATCAGGGTGACTGAGCTAAAGAGCGAGGGCTGGCGATGAGAGGGTGGGGTGCTGGGCGTTCTCAGAGAAGGGCATCATTCCCACACCGCCGTCTGACCCCTGGGTGGTGACGGGCTCTCAGCACAGCCTGCGCCCCTCTGGACCTGTTGTGTGGGCAACCCAGCGCCCACGACCTTGGGCCAATTTGCATCTCTCCATCCTTGGAGGCCCCCCTGAGCAGTTTTGCGTGTCAGAATCCACCCCTTCTCTGCCAGGTGACAAGACTGGGACAGTGATGATGATGTCTCTAGCTTGCCCTGGCGAGGAGCAGCCCTCCCCAGCCCCCTCCCCACCGCCCCACCCCCCTGTGGCCCGTCCTCGGCAGACACATGGGGAATAAGAGGTTTTTAGACACTTGTTAGCAGTTTCACAAAGTATTTTTATGCTGTTGAATCTAATAATTAGAAAATTGGACTTGTGTGTGTTTGGGTCTTTATTTCATTTTTTCTTAGCACTTTATTTTATTGTGTTTTCCAAAAATGTCAGCCCATGATGGATTGGAAAGAAGAGAGCAAAGGAAGCTGCTCCTGGGTAGTGAATCTCCAGGAGACTGAGTTCTGGCTGCAGAGGAGGAGCCTGGGGTGGGAAGGGGCTTGGCTCTCAAGGGCCGCCCGCTGTCCAGGTCTAGCTCAGCTACTTAGCAGTCTTAGTTTTCTCATCTGCAGAATGGGGAGAGCGCCTCATATATCTTGTAAGGAACCGAGCTTGTAGGTAGCAGTGTTTCCTCTGGTTCCTTCCTCTTCATCCTGCAGGATCCTGGCTTTACTGCCTGTCCCCTCTGCTGTCAGGTGAGGATAGGGCAGAAGGAACCCTCGGGGCCTGGGCCGAGGGAGCCACCTTGTGGCTCTCCTGAATTCACAGTGTGACCAGACAGCTGGTGCCTGGCCCAGACCCTACCCCTGCTTTCGTGACAGCAGTCGCTGTAGGTGGGGATCTGAGGTGGGCCTTGTGGGAGGATGGCGAGGCCCTGACTACCGCTGAGCCTGATGCCCACCTTCTCTTTGCTGCAGCTGCTGCAATGCTGCCTCTGCCCTCGGAGCAGGCCCTGGAGGAGCTGCTGGTTCGCAAGGAGGAGGAGTGGAGAGCACTGCAGGCCCAGCGCTCCCAACTGCAGGAGGCAGCTGTGCAGGAGGTGCAGAGCCGGCTGGAGGAGGCACAAGGGAAGCTGCAGCGCCTGCAGGAGGACTTTGTCTACAACTTGCAGGTGCTGGAGGAGCGGGACCGCGAGCTGGAGCGCTATGACGCTGCGTTCGCCCAGGCCCGAGGGCTGGAGGAGGCCAGGCAGGCCGAGGTGAGCGAGCTGAAGATCGAGGTGGCCAAGTTGAGGCAGGCGCTTGCGACTGAGGCCAGGAGGCTGGAGGACGCGCAGCAGCAGTACCAGCTGAGGTTGCAGGAACATCGCCTGGAGCTGGAGCGGGTCCACAGGTAAAGGGCGGCCAGACTCCGCTCTCCCCCAGGGTGCTGGCAGCCTCCATGCACCTGCCGCTCCCCTGTGCTACCTGGGCGCCCACCCTGAGTCAGTATTTACTGAATGAAGGTAGACAAGACAATGCCTTGGTATCTTTTTCTGGATTCCGATGCAGCTGGAATTATTGGAGAGTGGTTGAAATATTTGGAACTTTTTCCATGAATTCCAAATCTATAGCATTGTAATAAAACATATTTGAGTTTATAATTATTTTATTGATGTGAAATATATATTAATTTCAAAACTAAGTGAGCTGTCTTGAGGCAAGTCAACTAAGAACCTGAGGCTCTGGTCAGAGGGTCCTGTTGGCTGGGCCTCTGGGAACTGGCTCACGTGTCACAGCCTCCTCCTCGGCTCTGCTCAGCAACCATGGTAGTGGGAATTTTGATGAGACAGTAGGAAAGAAAGGTAAGACAGGTTCGTGTGCAAATCTGGTGCTTCCTCTTCCCCTGATTTCAGAGCGTGTGTTTCCCTTATCAGGTGAACCGAGTGCGTCTTGGCAGGGTTTGTTCTCTGCGCGTGTGATGTGTGTGTCCTTGCATGTCACAGCCAGAGCATTCGTCCTGCATGTTCTGTTTTCACTTGATAAGATCTTGAAGAGTTTTCCATGTCATTATGTATTTTCCCAAGGTAAACAGCATTTAAGTACTTTTTTAAAATCACAAAGGTAATGTGTTCTCTTGGTAGAAAGTCTTTTCACCCAGAAGATGGTGAGGCAAAAAGTACAAACTACCTGAGGGGTCTGGTGTGTTTTCCCCGGGAGACGTCATGTCTTATACTTGAGTGGAGGTGTCCTGGACACACTGTTCACAATGGCCTCCCTGCTATTTGTGGCACCTCTTCTGCGTGTCCTGTGTTGAGTTCCGCCACATCCTTTTGAGTGACTGTCTGGCCCTCTGTTGCCTGTGCTGGGCCTGCTCCCTCAGACGGGTGCAGAGCTGCTGGCGGGATAGCAGCAGGTGCCCCTCTGCAGCAGGTGGCTTTCTGTGGCAGCTCAGGGACGAGGAGAGGAGACCCACATCTGTGGGTGCGGGGCCCCCCGGCTCAGAAGCCCCAGGCCCGACGGCCCACATCTCCTGTAAAGATGCACAGGTATAGCTTCCAGGGTCTCTGCCGCAGATACACCAGTCCCAGGAGTTTGTCCCAGGGAAGCTCAAGATGTTTGTGGTCCTTCTACAGGTTCTCCCAGTCCTGAAGGAGGAGGCAGTGTGCGAGTGAGCATGTCACTTACGTGAACAGTGCGGCTTGTAATGTTGTTCACACCCCATACCACCACCCCGGGGACCTGGGAGAGGGCTGTAGAGTTTAACCAAGGTCGACCCCTCTCGGAGTGGGGAAGGGTCTCGATGACGTCTCACCTGCAGTATGGACATTGATGACTGGGCTCTCCCAGACTCCGCTGCTCAGAATTGCACTGTGATGCACTTGGGGCTCCAAGGCAGGTGCATTTAGCACAGCGACACGTGTGGCCGAGTTGCCCTCCATGGAAATACTGATTTTCCTTCCCGGCCATTTTTGAGTGTTGAAAGCACCTTTAAAGTGCTCTGTGTTGTTTTGTGAAGTGTCTCCCCATTCTTTTTGCCAAGTTTGGGACATTTTCAGCTGTTATTTCTTCAAATACCTTTTCAGCCCCACCCTCTTCTTCCTTCTGTTCTGGGACTCCAGTGACGTGAACGTTACATCTTTTGTTATTGTCCCACGGGTTCCCGAGGCTCAGTGTGCTTTCTTTTTCTGTCTGTTTCTCTCTGTTATTTTGATAATATTCAGGGTAATTTCTACAGTGCTGTCTTCCAGTTCTCTGATTCTTTTCTGTACTGTCTTCTCCTGCCATTGAGCCCATCCAGTGAGCCTTTTGTTTTGGTTATTGTACTTTGCAGTTCTCAGATTTCTGTGTAATTCTTTGTCATGTTTTCTTTGCTGAGAGTTTCCCTTTCCCATTTGTTTAGAGTATACTAAATGGCCTGTGGAAGCAGTTTTATGGTGGCACTATAAGATCCTTATTCCAACATCTGTGTCATCTTGGTGTTGGCATCTCTTGACGGTCTTTTCTCAATCAAGTGAGATTTTCCTGGTTCTTGGAGTAACCGCTGACTTTGCATTGTATCCTGGATACTTTGGGAATTCTGTGGGGAGTCTCTGGATCCCATTTCCTGTAGTCTTTTGCAAGCAGTCACCTGTCCAGGTGCAGCACACAGGTCCAGGTGGGGGGAAGTGTTGCTGCCCCCGGGTCTGGTGGAAGCCACCCCACAGAAGCAAAGTGCCAGTTCGTGTTTGTGAAGTTTACCTGCACCACGTGTGTCTGATGGTGACTATTCTGTATAGCTTTTCTTAATGCTGCGTTTTATATGTAGTGACAAGAACAGTGAGATCGACCATCAGCGGGAACAGTATGAAAACCTGAAATGGAAGCTGGAGAGAAGGCTCGAGGAGCTTGATGGTGAACTTGCTCTGCAGAGGCAGGTATGGTGTGCAGAGTTGAGCCCCTTCTCAGCTGCCTGTCCTGCCCGCCCACCCTGAAAGCAGTGGCCCCCGGTAAGGAGAAGACTGTTTTGTTGCCTGTATGGTATCCACGTGATCAAAGTGAAACTCTTGGGGCAGGTTTCCGTTCTGTGATGGTCTGGGGAGAAGGATGAGGGGGAGGTCTGATCTTCCTCTGGAGTAATTCCCACAGTGTCTTCTTTTCTCCGAAATGAATAAACACTTCCTCCCTTATTTATTTTAGGAAAAAGTATTACAAAGTTAAAATTTGAGTTATTGCCTGTAGAAAGAGCTGGGAACTCAAGTTGTGATAAGTGTATTTCCTTCAACAAAACAAGATGTAATCATAAGTTTAAATATAGATGTGTCAGCTGACAGGTGACACTTAAACCTGTCACCAAAATTTCCCCTCAGTGTCACTGAAACTCAGCCTACACTTCTGAGTGTCTCTGCTGTGTTGGGGTTTGGTCAAAGGATTTCCTCCACATTATGGCTAGAGTCCACATCTGTCAGAGCTGTGTGTGGGGGGGGTGATGTGGTCTGCGTGTGTGCAAAAATGATGGGCTGCTTGAGTGCAGGGGTGACATGGGCTGCATGTATGCAGGGGTGACGTGGGGCTTTGTGTGTGCAGGGGTGTTGTAGGGCTGCGTCTGTGCGGGGTGACTGGCTGCATGTGTGCAGGGGTGACAGGCTGCGTATGTGCAGAGGTGATGTGGGCTTCATGGGTGCAGAAGAGATGTAGTCTGCGTGTGTGCAGGGTGATGATCTGCATGTGCAGGGGTGACGTGAACTGTGTCTGTGCAGGGGTGACATGGTCTGCATGTGCAGGGGTAACGTGGTCTGCATGTGCAGGGGTGACATGGGCTGTGTCTGTGTAGGGGTGACGTGGGCTGTGCATGTGCAGGAGTGACGTGGTCTGCATGTGCAGGGGTAACGTGAACTGTGTCTGTGTAGGGGTGATGTGGGCTGTGTCTGTGCAGGAGTGACATGGTCTGCATGTGCAGGGGTAACGTGAACTGTGTCTGTGTAGGGGTGATGTGGGCTGTGCCTGTGCAGGAGTGACGTGGGCTGTGCCTGTGCAGGGGTGACATGGTCTGCATGTGCAGGGGTAATGTGAGCTATGTCTGTGTAGGGGTGACGTGGGCTGTGTCTGTGTAGGAGTGACGTGGTCTGCATGTGTAGGGGTGACGTGAACTGTGTCTGTGTAGGGGTGACGTGGGCTGTGCCTGTGCAGGAGTGACATGGTCTGCATGTGCAGGGGTAATGTGAGCTATGTCTATGTAGGGGTGACATGGGCTGTGCCTGTGCAGGAGTGACGTGGTCTGCATGTGCAGGGGTAACGTGAACTGTGTCTGTGTAGGGGTGATGTGGGCTGTGCCTGTGCAGGAGTGACATGGTCTGCATGTGCAGGGGTGACGTGGGCTGTGTCTGTGCAGGAGTGACATGGTCTGCATGTGCAGGGGTAATGTGAGCTATGTCTATGTAGGGGTGACATGGGCTGTGCCTGTGCAGGAGTGACGTGGTCTGCATGTGCAGGGGTGACGTGGGCTGTGTCTGTGTAGGGGTGATGTGGGCTGTGCATGTGCAGGGGTGATGTGGGCTGTGTGTGTGCAGGGGTGACAGGCTTCACGGGTGCAGGGGGATGTGGTCTGTGTGTGTGTGCAGGGGTGACAGGCTTCATGGGTGCAGGGGGACATGGTTTGCATGTGTGCAAAGGTGACGGGCTGCATGGGTGCAGGGGGACGTGGGCTGTTTGTGTGCAGTTGTGACGTGGGCTGCATATTTGCAGGAGTGATGTGGGCTGCATGTGTACAGTAGTGACAAGCTGTGTGGGTACAAGGGGGATGTGGGCTGTGTGGGTGCAGGTGCCAGGGTGACGAGGTCCCCTTCGTCTCCTTCCAGGATGTGCTGAGCTCATGTTGTCATAGCAACAGCCAGTGTTCATGGAAACTGCCTCCACATGCACGTGTGTGACTTTCTCTGCCCCTCACAACAGAGACAGTTTTGATCTGCATTTTACAGATGCGGAACTGAGGTCCAGAGACATTAGCTAACCTGCCCAAGATCCCCTTAATAAGTGGCAGAGCTCTAATTTGAGTCCAAGACATCTCTAGTGTGTGAACTCTTAGCCACTGTTACCCTGCCCCTGGATAACTACTCACACCTTATTTTTAGACTCATGTCCACGATGTCGGACAAGGAGCTGGATTGAGAAGTCAGCCTGTGCTGTGTCCCTGTCTGCCCCTTCTCAGGGTGCCGCTGAGAGCCGCTGAGCTCTGAGCTTGTCCCCTTGTCTCTCGGTGAAGGTGTCACGGGGCAGATGTGTACGGTGTGCCTGTGCTGGGGTCTGCAGTTCTCAAGGACAGACTTGTCATGCTGGCAGAGTAGGCCTGACTGCCTGGCCCACCGTCCCGCAGCACAGCACCAGCGCCCTAGACAGGATGGTGTCCTGTGAGGCGCAGGGCCAGTCAGGATGGAAAGGTGCCGGTGGACACGACTGTCCTTCTGACTGCACTTTCACGCGTGGCTGTGTCTGCCAACCGTGGCCGGCAGAGGCAGAGGCCCCGCCGATGCCCAGGCTTAGCATCCCATAGCGTATCACCCCTTCCTTCCCCGCTGGAAGCTCAAAGTTCGTTGTCTGTGATGCTGCCATCACTCAGAACATCCTTTAGAGCTCTTGAAATTTCCTACAGAGGGTTTTCTGTGGGGATTCTTGGGGACCAAACAACTTTGGTCATTGTGGGCAGGTGTGACTTTTGGAAACAGCTTAGAGTCATTAGAGCAGTGAGGCGGGGCCTGAGCTGGGTGATCAAGGGAAGTCAGTTGTGACTTATCTGAGTAGTGAGGAGTCTCCTCAAGTGGCACCAGAGTCTCTGGGAGGAAGGAAACTTGATGTTTAAACCCTCCAGCATTGGTGTTCTACCGAGGGCTGCTGCCAGAAACCTGGGTGGGCTTTGTCTGGTGGGTTCCGGAACAGTTGGAGCCCTGACGGTTCTCGGGTGCAGTGTGCTTTTGCTTAATCCTTCCCTGCCATCCTCCTCTTACTCTGTCAGAGCTCAAAGCAGGGTCTTCAGTGTGCATTGGCTTCGTGATTTCCTTGGGCCAGGTTCCTGTCCTTTGTTTCCGAAGATCTTTGTGTCCGTTATCGACTTGCCAGAGGTAAAACTGATTCAGTGGTGATAATGATTTTTCTCTTGAAAGATGAAACATAAGATAGTGCGAACTGAGTTAGTCTGGTTAACTCTTATTAGAGCTGTGAGTTGTAGACTGTGGACTTAAGGAAAGCTTCTTCCGTGCTGGTTAGCAGTCACACGAGTAGAAGGCATTGGAGGAGAAATGGAATGATTAGTTAATTCATTTCTTCATCTCAGAAATACTTTTTGAACACGAGGCACGTGGCTGGCACCCTTGCAGTCCCTGGCATTAGGACCTGGCTGCCCCGGGGGCGAGCTAGCACAGTTGACACCTAAACAGGACAGTCTCTAGCTGCAGCATCCCAAGAGCGTTGTCACCTGAGTGACAAAGGGAGGCAGGGTGGGTGGGGCTGACCTGTTAAATAAGGTGGTCAACGTGGCGCCCTGAGAAGAGGACATGTGGGTGAAGTCTGCAGGTGGTGAGGGGTGTGGGAGGGAGTGGCAGGCACCTGTGTGCTTGGGGAGCCTTGGGCCAGCATTCAAGTTCAAGGGGGCCTAGGCAGGGGCAGCTGAGTAGGGCTCACAGGCCCTCATAAGGGTGAACCTTGGCTCCACGTGAGATGAGGAACGCTTAGGGGCTTGGAGGAGAGGCACTGTGAGCTGAGTTGAGTTTTGAGAAGATCATCTGCGGCTGCACTGAGGACAGACTGTGGGGCCGGGGCAGCAGGGAGACCGTGAGGAGGCTGCTGCCGCTTCAAGTGAGAGGTGGGGCCTAGGACCTGGGGGGAAGTGGGCCGGTTTTGGACACACCTATCCGGCGGGGCCCATGGACACGCTGATGGATCTGATGGGGCAAGAGAGGCAGGTGCCTAGGACATACCCAGTTGGGGCTGAGTGCCTGGCAGGTGACTTTCCGTGTATTGAGCCGGGGAACTGTGTGGGGAGGATGGGGAGGGCGGTTGGTCAGGCTGTGTGGGAGGTGGCTCCTGGACTTGTGGGAAGGCGTGTTGGGCAAGAGGAAACTTTGCCTGCCGCAGGTCCAGGGAGTCACGGGGTACAGAGCTGGGAGCCTGGGACATCACCAGAGGGCGAGTATAGACAGAGGAGCTTTCCAGGCTGAGTCTTGAACACAAGGACTGGGGAGGCAGGGGATGTCGGCCAGAGGACTGCAGGGCGCAGGCAGGTGGGGGGCCTAGCAGGAGAGGGGTGCCCAGGAGCAAGGGATCACGGTAGCCCGAGGCAGGCAGAGCCCTACATCTCTAGGGTGAGGTGGGACTGGGAGTGGACATGGATGCAGCAGTGCAGTGCGAGGGCGAGGGCTTCTTGTTCCTGGTTAGATGTACCTGCCAGTCAGGGGCCCGGGCTCCACCTGCGTGATGGCTTCCTTCCCCCTGCTGGCCACAGCCTGCAGAACTTTGAACAGAAACCGAATGCTTCAATATTTTGTAACGCCATAGGAGGAATGAATGTCAATGATTTTCATATTGTGGTTCCAGATGGCGTTACTTATGTGACCCCTTATACTTCATTTTGCTTCTCAAAGGATGAAAACAGTAAATGTGTGTTTTCAGTTGTACTTCTGCACAGTGTTTCTGAGGCCCCCACTCGACCTTCAGAGAATGGGAGAGAGCCAGCCATGCATTTATCACTGGGCAGGTGTGCAGTTGCCCACCTGAGCGGGCACCCTGTCCCCAAGATTGGGTGGCTGGCTGGCAGCCTCAGGCCTCCCTGTGAGCTCCATGTGGAGGCGGGAGCCAGGGAGCCTGAGAGAGGCAGGGCAGAGAGGCCAGAGGGGCTGGGCTCCTGGCTCCATCCCCCTCAGAGAGGGCTATGTCGTCGGGCTCACTCTCCCCTTGATGGGACCTTGGAGACAGAGGAAGGAGGCTCTTCCGTGCAGGAGTAAACCAACAGAGGAAGACGGCCTCGAGGAATGCCGGGGCCTGCATGGGGGAACTGTGGAGGGAAGTTCTGGGGTACAGCTATGCATTAGCCCAGGGAGAAGCCAGACTGGAACATGGAGACCGAGGGCCCAGCAGGATAGCACTGCAGGAGAAGGAAGGTTTGTGCTGTGGGCTGCATCCTGGGAAGTGGACACACTAAGGAAACGTGAGGGGCCGAGGCTGACAGAGAGACAGGCAGACAGCAGACAGACCAGACAGACAGGGAGACAGACAGGCAGAGACAGGCAGATAGGCAGGCAGACAGACCAGACAGACCCACCGACACATGAGACAGGCAGGCAGACAGGCAGAGACACAGACCAGACAGACAGACAGACAGGTGGAGACAGACAGGCAGGGACAGAGGCAGACAGAGAGACAGAGATAGGCAGAGAGACAGACAGGCAGGCAGAGATAGACAGATAAGCAGAGACAGACAGAGAGGCAGGCAGATAGAGAGAGACAGAAGTAAAGAGAGAGAGGAGAGGGGCTGGCCCAGTGGCCGAGTGGTTAAGTTTGCACGCTCCGCTGCAGGTGGCTCACTGTTTCGTTGGTTCGAATCCTGGGCGCGGACATGGCACTGCTCATCAAACCACGCTGAGGCAGCATCCCACATGCCACAACTAGAAAGACCCACAACGAATAACATACAACTATGTACTGGGGGGCTTCGAGGAGAAAAAGGAAAAAAATAAAATTAGAAAAAAAGAGAGAGAGGAGAGTAATTCAGAACAGGAGAAACAAGGAGCTGTGCAAGACGTGAACTGTGACCATTGTTGACTATTGGGTGAGCAGTGAATCATTTTATCGTCCTAATGATTTATCAACTTTTGGCTTTTCGATTCATCCTGTGGGTGAAGCTCGCAAGACGTATGTCTTTACAGAGCCAGGTGTAACAGAGCCAGGATGGCCACACTGGGAGGTATGGGCTGCTCAACTGTTGCCTGTTGTAGCAAGGACCCAGCAGATAGCTCAGAACACTGACACAGGAAATGGTGGCGCCAGCGTGTTATTTAGAGACATAGAGGGAAGCAACAGGAAAAGCGTTAAAAGTGGGTGGTCAGGGCAGGGGCTGGGGAAGGGGCTCCCGGGGCCTCATGTTTCTCGTTGTAAATCCTTCAGCAGCTCTCCAACTGTCCATGCCCAGTGGCTCACTCTGTGCAGAGCAGAAACTGACCTGGCTAGAGGGAGAAATAGGCTGATCCACGTTGTTGGGGTAAACTCTGGCTGCGGTGAGCCCTCCGATGACATTTGTGCAGATATTACAGATGGCGGGTCCTGCTGTCGACTCTGTCGTCTTCTCCGACTCGCTTCTCCAGGGTCTGTGACGGGCTCCCTCCTTCAGGGACCTCTGCTTCCTGACCATTCACTTGTTGGTCATGCGTGGTGGGTCTCTGCTGGGTCCTCACTGTCTACCTTTCACCCTGAGCCCTTTCTGTTCCAGGAGCTGCTGCTGGAGTTTGAATGCGAAACGCAAAAGAGGGAGCATGAATTCCGCCTGCGCGCCGATGGCATGAGCAACTTGGTCTTAATGCACGAGCTCAAGGTAATGGGGGACTGTGACAGTTTCCTCATCAGAAGAGGGAAGCTCCTCTTGAGTGTGAGGCAGCTTCTGAACTGTGAGTTAGGGTTCACACAGAGGCCTCCTCCTCTGCACGTGGACCAAGGCCTCCACCGCATGGAGCCGGGGGCGCCAGGGGAAATCAGCGTCCACCATGGCGCCCACCACTTGCCCCACTCAGGAGTGACCATCACTCTGCCCAACCACTGCTGGTGCCACTGCTCTGGGTGCAGTTACCCTGACCTTGCGGAAGTGCCTTCCCCAGGATAAACTGCCACCCTGATCCTGGCCGAGATGCGAGGGGCTCTGCAAATGCTGTCCTTGGCCTGTGTCCTACCGTGAGCGCTTGGAATGGGCCTGTGAGGAGGTGCTGGGTGTTCCCCATTTACAGCAGAGGAGGCCAGACTCGGGGGGTCAGTGGTCTGCCTGAAGCTCGTGCTGCCAGCCTTGGTGCTAGCTGGGGCCTCTGTGAACTCTTGGGTGAACATGGGGTCTCTGAAGCACCAGCCCTGACATGGCCAGGGCATGTGTGAGGAGCTTGTACGCCTGATCTTTAGCACTGAGGCGATGACCAGCCTTGAGGGAAGCTGCGATTGTGCAGGGGGATGAGGAAGTGGAGGGTGATGCCTCGCCTGGCTCTGCTGGCCCCTACTGGTTACCCCTGGGCTGGCGTACAGCGGCTATTAGTAAGATAGAAACCCTGCCGTAGTGGTCAGCAAGGGCCTGTGCCCCAGGCCTTAAGTCTCCCCACAGTGCTGGAGTCCAAGGGGCAGCACTGGGCCAGCTGGGGGCCCCGGGGCCCCTGGCAGTTTTGTATGGCTGGAGCCCAGGCCAGGCAACCCCCACCCCCAATCTCACCTCCTGGCACAGACACCATTCTCCCAGGAATACTGGCCCAAGTCCTGCCCCTCTGCCTGGGTCCCCCTGACTCCAACCCTGGAGGAATGCTGACCCTTGTGAGCCAGGGCCAGCAGGCATTGGACCTCAAGGCTGGGGCTGCCCCACAGTGACCCTCACCAGGCCACTTTGGGCACTTCTAAGCACCAGGGGAGAGAGGGCAGGCAGGATGTGCAGGGCCACCCTGTGCTCCGCAGCATGGCGGGCAGTCCTGTCAGAGGAGGGCAGCAGGGGCAGGTGGGGCTCCTCCGTCTGCTGTGGGAGTTGGTTACAAACCCCTGAACAGTGACCCCTCCAGGGCCTCATGGCTTACACAAATCAGTAGGAACTGATTTGGGTGCAGTGGCCATTACTGTCACCATATTGTGCAGTCGAGGAACTGAGGCCTTTTGAGATAACTGAGGTTATTTAAAAGTTGATCTGAGTGGGGTTGCTCAGCAGGAAGGCACATTCTCACAACCTCCACCCGAATGTGTGAGTCCAGTATTTACACGATATTCCACCCTGTGCCCAGAGCCGAATGGAGTTCCATTGGTCTGTCAGAGTGATAGTCTCAGCTCCACACGGGCTGTCGAGTGGGTAGCGTGTCTCCTGGTCGAGGGTCTCCTGGGAGTGTTCACCGTGGCAGAATGTGAGGACGTTCTCTCTGTGTTATTGCTTCTTGAGTTCTCATTTTTCTTCCCTCCCGGTGCTGATGAAAGGGTCATGCTCACCTCTGACCCCTAGTTTGTTCCAGTTATATCCTCGTTTTGAATTCTTTTGCTCTCTCAAAGGTTAAACTATTGAACAAAGAGCTTGTGGCTCTGAAAGAAGCTGGAGCAAAGGCTGCAGAGTCTCTACAGAGTGCTGAGATGGCCAGCTCGGAGCTGGAGCGAAGGCTGCAGTGCAGAGACCAAGAGCTCAGGGAGCTTGCCGCAGTGAGGGATGCCCGGTGCGGAGCCTGCCCCGTCTCTCTTGGGTGGTGGAAGCTATGTGCCATGCAGTTTGGACTCTAAGTCTGGAGGTTTCTGCCTGTCTTGGCTTATTTGTGTCAGGCTGGCTTTGCTGTAGTCCCTTACCCGCTTTTTCCACAAATATTTGTTTTTAGGATTGAAGACTTAGAGGGTAAACTTTGCTCTGTGCAGCTGACCAGGAAAAAAGAGGAGGAGATGTTTAGGAGGAAGTGAGTATTTCTGGCTCCTGATGTCAGTGGCCCCTGGGACGGGAGGGAGACCTGGCCGAGGACGGCGAGTATACGGTCCAGGGCAGAGGGTCCCACCAACCAGGGGCCCGCCTGGCCTGCAGACTCACTGCTTTGGATCCGCCATTGTGCTCCGTGCAGAATGTTCTCTAATATTTAGGCTTTTTAGTGTTTTGAAACTTAAAAGTGTTATTAACCAGTTTATCAGTGTTAGATGGCAGCAACAAGTGCTGCTTTGGTGTTACGGTCACCTTCGTTTTAAATGACTGTGGCCAAATCCTTCGACCCTCCTGGCTCTATGCTCTCTGGGTTCTCCAGAGCCACCTCTTCCTGTGGAAATGCATGTGTCATCCCTCAGTGGGGATGTGTACCTGGCAGGGACATGGCGAGTTGTCTGTGTCCTGGGCACTGCTGGGTGTCATGGGGCCCCCAGCATGTAGGCAGGGTGGCAGCCCCTGGGCAGAGACCCTGAGAAAGCTATCAGAGAGTACCCCCCTCAACTGAGATGTGTGAGGCTGTCAGGTGCAGTGGGGGCTTGAGAAAGGCCAGGGCAGGCTTCATGGGGTGGGGAAAGCGAGGCCAGGTGGGTGTGGGGGAGTGCCTTCAGTTGGGGGAACCCAGGCCTGCGGATAGGTGGGCCCTGGGGAACCCGAGAGGGGCAGCGTCCATCCGCTTCAGTTGCCATTTCTTTTCTGGAGCAGCGTCACTGTGGCTACATGTAAAATGCATGCATGATGATCAAGAAGACACCATGTAATGGAGACGGGTGATGGTGGTGCATCAGGGTCGTTTTTCTTATATCTTTTGTTGTGTTGACATGATGTTTGTGCAATATGTACAAATTGAGAAGAAAAACTTTTGAAAATGGGTCTGTTTACTGCCTTTCCACTGTAATCAGATGTGTAGTTGGAAACTGCTTTCCAGACTGCTGGATTGGTGCCCATTGGCAGTGGAGAGAGGGGTTGTGCCCTCAGCTGGCGGCCAGCACGTGGGAGTGCCTCCCAGGGCTGGCACGCTGACCAGCACTCGTGAGGGTGAGCGTCAGTGTTCTCAGCCCCAGATGGTGAGACTGAGGTTGAGTGGACATGTGGGCGCATGAGCAGGTCGTGGCAGAATGTGGCCGCGCCTGGACCACCCCAGGCCGGTGGTGCGGGGGCTGCTTACTTCATGGGCCCAGAGCCTGGCATCTAAGACTTGCTCAGTCAGTGTTTACGTGTGAGGAGTAAACTAGTGAATGCTAGGAAGATAAATAAACAGCGCCTACCTTGCAGAATGGAGCACATGGTCATGATGAGACATGAGCACCACACCCCTGTAGCACAGAAAGTGTGGGAAATGCCGAAAGAGGTTCTGGGATCTGGGGTCCAGAGTGGGGCCCTGCATGAGCTGCTGTGGGACTCGCTGTGTTTCAGGCACGAGGAGCTCGACCGTCTGGCCAGGGAAAGGGATGAGGTGCTGGCAGCGGTAAAGGACGCCCACGTGGAGCAGCTGCGGGTGCTGGAGTCCAGGGCTCTGGAGCTGCAGGCCCACTGCGAGACCCTCGAACTGCAGCTCCACAGGGCCGAACAGAGGCAGGCGGACGCCTTGAAGGAGAAGGATGCCATCATTGACAGGTGAGCGTGTGGGTGGAGTGCCTGGCTGCTCCTTTCCTCTGTTTCAGGTGAAGGGATGTGGGTGCTGGGGTATGGGGGATCACTTCTGGTAGCTCTCTCGTCGTTTTTCTTAGCCAGTCTTTACTTTCCTTTTCTTGTTTTCAAATCATGTCGTTAGTATGTGTGTATGCATGTACGAATGCAGGCATTTATTTATTTGTGGTAAAGTAAACATAATGTAAAATGTACCCTCTTAACCATTTCCAAGTGGGCAGTTCAGTGACATTAAGCGTGTCCACATTGTTGTGCAGCCATCACCCATGCATCTCTAGAAGCCTTTCCATCTTCCCAAACTGACCCTCTGTCCTCATGAAACACCTCCCCTCCCCCTCCCCCAGGCCCTGGCACCCACCGCTCTCCTTTCTGTCTCCATGAATGTGACTCTTCTGGGTCCTTCATGTGAGTGGAATCATACAGTATTTGGTCCTTTTGTGACTGGATTATTCCATGAACCATAGTGTCATCAAGGTTCATCCATGTTGTAGCACGTGTCAAAATTTCCTTCCTTTTTAAGGCAGAATAATATTCCATTGTGTAACTAGACCACATTTTGTTTAGCCAGCATCCGTTGATGGACACTTGGGTTGTTTCTGCCTTTGGCTGTTGTGAACAGTGCTGCTGTGACTGGGGGTGGGGTGTGCAAATATCTGTTCAAGTCTCTTTTTTCAGTTCTTTTGGGTATATACCCAGAAGTGGAATTGCTAGATCACATGGTAATTCTGTGTTTAACTTTCCGAGGAACTGCCAGACTGTTTTCCACAGCGGGCGCACCATTTTGCACAAGGGTTCCAATTTTCCCATTCACTGGTTTCTTTTTATTCCTAGTCTTCTTTCCGGCATCTAGGCTGGGCCAGGACAGGTAAGCAGCCCTGTGCCACTGTGTCTCTGTCTAGGAGAAATGCATACGTGTAGACTCATTGTACTTGTAATTGTAATTGTAACTGAACTGCTGTCTCCTGGCTGCCAGGAAGGGAGTGATCCTTAGAGAAGCGTGTTCACTGAAGACAATGAAGACAATTAGAATCATTTGACAGTGTTTAGCATGCTTAGCAAGTGGCTTTTCCCCTTTGGGGAATATTTCTGTCTCTTTTTTATAGAGAATTCTCTGCCCAGTTATATTCCTATTTGGGAGATAATGGCTCTCACAACTGTAAAATACTAGGAAGTAAAGGCTGATTCAGGAGAGTTTCCTCAGATTTGGCATGTTATTTTATCGTTTGATCTATTACATGAAAGCAGCCGCAGTTGGAGAAGCTGAAGTGACCAAGTCTGACGGGCATGTGTTCCTGCGTGTTCCTCCCTGCTGGGAGGGCTCTCTGGGCCCTTCTCACAGGCCAGGGCTCAGGCCAGTGTTCGGATCTCCAGAGCTTCCTCGCACGGAAGCCGCGGGGCGGGCCTCATTCCGCCTGCCCTCGCCTCTCCGCGTGTCCCTCCTCAGTTTCTTCCTGCTCCTCGGTGTGACCGACCCAGCAGGCTGTGATGAGCAGCGTCCGTGCCAGTCGGGCCTGCTGCTGCCTGGGGCCGCGAGTTGCCAGGAGGGAGCCTCATTTTCTGTCACAATCTTTGCGTTCTGAGACATACTCTGCTTAAAATCAGCAAGAAACACTTGTATCTGGAGCTTGCTGTCTCGTTGGTCCTGTTTGTGGTGATCTTGCAGAGAACGTTAGTTGATGAATGCTCTGATAGAGAAATGAGGACCCCGAGGCAGCTTCGTGAGGACGGCAAGTGCCTTGTGCAGCCGTATAACCTATAACATGGGAGTGTGATGGGGCCACACAGCCATTTTAACTTTCCAGTGCCCACAGTTAAGACACAAAAGAAATTGGTGAAATTAACTTCAGTAACATAGTTATTTAGCCCACCATATTTAAAATGTTATAATGTTGCATATCTTTAACAAAAGTAATCAATATAAAATTATTAATAAAGAAGGATCATTAAATTTTCCTGAACAAAATTATTGCTGAGGTATTTTGCATTTTTTTGGTGCTAAGTTTTGGAGCCACATCTCAGTTCAGACTGGCCACATGCTCAGGAGGCATGGGTGGCCCCTGGCCCTGTGTTGGACAGAGCAGATGTGAACGCTTGCCTGCGGGGGTTCAGGATTGGTAAGGTCAAATTCGCATGCTCTCGGAGCGCTGACCTGGTTGTGCTGGTTGGTGTTGGCAAATGGGAGCAGGAACCAGGAGCACACGTGTGAACATGTGTAAAGCCCTTGCTGTAAGCACATGGCTTCGTGGGGATTCGCTGGAGACTGAGACGAGAGAACAGTATGGTTCTTGAGTTCCAGCAACTTCTCTTGTAGCTGAAGAGGCCCAGCACACACGTGGAATTGTGTAGGAACAACGTCAGGGAGTGCAACAGGAAGCTCAAAGTCCCACTGGACATTGTTGGAGGCCTGGGCAATCGACTTGCCAGGGCCGCCAGCTGCTCCCCTTTCCCACCTGGAACATCAGAAAAGCTCCAGTTACAGGTGACCTGCTGGCTGTTGTCCCTTGGCCCTTAGAACAGAGTTGCTGACAAATGGGCAGAGAGGGAGGTTGTCTTTTTGAGATCCCGATCAGGGCCCCAGCTAGTTTGTGTCCCTTTGTCTTCTCAGCAACATGCGCATGAGCACGTGGAGCCAGAGGAGATCCTTTCCTTTCCCGCGTAACGTCAGACACGGGTGCTGGAGGCTTCAGGACCGAGTGGCTGGTGTGGTGTGGCCAGGCTGAGGGCCCGCTCCTGCGCGTCCCGTACTGCCCCCCTCGCTGGCCAGGCCCACTGGGATGCAGCGCCTGATCGGCCCACGAGGGGGAGGGGCCGCTCTGTGAGGGTTCCTGCGCTCCCCCTGCTGCTTTCTCACCATAGCCTCTGGGACTGGAGCGGGGCTGCCGCCCCAGAGAGGGTGCTGGGTGGAGGCCAGAGGCCGGTGGAGCAGCTCCAGCCCCCAAGCTCTGCCACCAGCCCCAGTGTTCGGTCTTCCCTGGGTGTGCTCTGACGTTTCCAACTCTTTGCAGCCCTTCGGGCACAGACTGAGCCCTTTGTTTTAGGTGGGAGGTCAGTATGAGTTTGGACAGATGGGACTAGAAGTCATTTGTTTAGATTATACGAAGAAAGTGACGTTTTCTTCATGGCAAAGATGAATGTGGGAAATTCTCTGCTTGACAGACTTTCTTCCTCCTTGGAGAAGGTCTGTGACTCCAGACTCCGAGGTGCTGTTTCCAGGCAGGTTCAAAGCGGGCGCGTTTCCTAGGTCGGCAGTGGAGCCAGAAGAGTTGGCATGTGTTCCTGAGCAGTATTGCCTTCCTCTGAGGGGTGTGTGGCACTGTGTCCACTGCGCGGAGTAATTCCCCCTGTTCATCCCAACCTCAGTGTGTAAAGCGTTTTCCCCAGTTGGTTTCGCTGCAGTCCTTTCTGAACAGAAAAATCTTTTTGCTCTGAGTGATGATAACCCTGGCTCGGCCGGGACTGAGGCTGTGGGACCCAGAGCCAGCCCCTGCCCACCACAGCAGGGTCTGCCAATGAGCAGAGCAGGTGTCTTCACCCTGTCCTCACATGTCTGTGCCGGGGCAGGCAGGGCTCGAGGGCGCCCAGGAGGGTAGAGAGCACACGGGTTCTCAGGCAGGGACTCGGACCTGAGGGAAGCTGGGGTGAGGGTGGGGGCAGGAAGAGCCGACACAGCCACCTTGTCCCTGTGGAGTCCACTGACCCTTTGCCAAAGGCATTTTCACCAACGCAGCCACCTTGATGTTGGGGCCGGCCGTTTAAGCTGAAACGTTTAAAGAGCTTTCCTGTCAGGGCAGTCGCTCCCTTCTGCTTCCTGTCTTTGCCCACGTCTGAGTGAGGGTTTGTCTGATGCCCAGGGCAGCCGATCGGGCTTTTGATCCAAGGCCCTGTCAGCTGGAGGCCATTTGCCTTCCCTCGGCTTGTCCAGTGTCTGTATGGCACACCATGGTTGGTCCGCGGGCCTGTGGCTCTGGTCATCAGCCTGTAGGTGACCACTGTGGTCCACCCCACAGCACACTGTGAGCAGCTTGGGAGGGACCTGGGCCAGGGCTGCAAACAGGCTGAACACCCAGTGGCCTTTCACATGGTTGGTGCTGTAGCTTCTATAGTTAATATTTCTAGGTGTCCTCTCCAAGGGTTTTCTTCTTGGGAAATTAGTCCAAGTTTTGGAGAATCTTCTGGGGAATTTACGGTTTCTGTAGAACCTCATTTTACTATTTAATTTGAAAACGTGTACTGAATGTCTGCATGTCGAGGTGCTGCAGAGGCGTGGCGACAGGGGCAGAGGGGAGTCAGACGGCACCACCTCAAGACTGGAGGCTGTGCGGGACCTGCCATGGCTCACCTTTCCCCCTGCTCACCTGGCTCGGGCTTGCACGTTGTAGGTGTCAGTCGATACCTGGCTTGGTGGAATGGCTAGGTGGATATTTCTTCTTGAGTTGGACCATTTCCCAATCTAGGCAAGGATGTCTCCACCCTGATGTGGAGACAGGAGCGTGGGAGAGACGCTGACCTGTAGTGTTTCCTTTGAGGTCCGTGCACATGTGTTTGAGTGTGTGTATTTGTTGGGGACGCCGCGTGAAAGAGAGCTTGAGGGATCAAGGGAGAACCACACCCACATTCACGTAGCTTCCCTTCTTTGCTCAGACTCCGGGAAGACACGGCAGCTCTGAAATCTGGCTGGGATGCCCAGATCGCTCAACTCTCCAAGGAGATGATCGCCAAAGACCTTCAGGCTCAGTCGCTGCAGGGAGAAGAGGGGACACTCCAGGCACAGCTAGCCAGATGCCAGCAGGACATCGGAAGGTGACTGTCCCCAAGGCAGATGTTTTGACTGAGTGCTTTCTAGGGGCAGGTGCCATCCCAGGTGCTAAGGATGTAAAACGGAACAGAATCAAGCCCCTGGCCTGGCATCCTGTTGGGGGAGAAAGACAAGAACCAGGAAACAGAGCTAGAACGTCTGGTGTGGTCGCAAGAAGAGAGAGAGAGTGAAGAAGAGTAGGAAGAAAGGGCGAGGGAGGGCGGGTGGAGAAGGCCTTTTGGTTGGAGGGTGGTGTCAGTCTGGAACAGGGCTGTGAGAGGGTTGTGCTCTTTGAGTCTGTTAAGAATCACCTCTCGATGCTGTTTGTCTGATGGTTAGTGTTTTCGTGTCTTTTATTAGCAGTTGGAATGAACTCTTGAGTGAAGATAATATTCCACTAGCTTTCTTGAGGAATAATGTAAATACAATAGAATGCCCCCATTTAGCAGTATGTGCCGTATGCCTGGCTGTGTAGCCACCTCTGCCGTGGGGTGTAAACCTTCCATCACCAGTTGCCCTCGCCCCCTCTGCAGTCTCTGACCCAGCCCGGCACCCACTTAGCTACTTTCTGTCACTGGGGGTGAGTTTGGCCTGATCTAGAATTTCATCTGAGTGGAATCCTACAGTATATACGCTTTTATAGCTGGCTCTTGGATATTTATTTGAATATTTACTTCAAATTTTCTATTTTTCCCATGTCAGTTTTGGTCTAGTTAGAGGTTTATCAGTTTGCAGGTCTTTTCAGAGAACCAGCTTTTGGTCTCATGGATTTTTCTTGATTGTTTTTCTGTTCTCAGTTTGTTGACATCTACTGTTATCCTCATTATTTTCTTTTTTCTATTTCCTTTGGCTTTAATTTGATGTTCTTTCAATAGATTCTAACGGTGGGATCTTAGATTCTTAATTCTGTGCCATTCCTGTTTTCTAAGAAATGTAAGCATTTCATGCTATAAATTCCCTTTCAAACACTTGCTTAGCTGTGCCCCACAAATTTTCATATTACTCAGTTTAAATTATCTTCTAATATCCCTGGTGATTTCTTCTTTGATCCATAGGTTATTTAGAAATATGTAACTTCATTTTCTATTATTTTGAGATTTCCAGGTATAATTTTGTTACTGCTTTCTAATTTTTTTTTTAACTTTTTATTGAGATTATGATAGTTTACAACCTTGTGAAATTTCAGTTGTACATTCTTGTTTGTCAGTCGTGTTGTATGTGCACCACTTCACCCTTTGTGTTCACCCCCCACCCCTCCTTTCTCCTGGTAACCAACTAATCTGTTCTCTTTGTCTGCATGTTTAACTTCATCATATGAGTGGAGTGATACAGAGGTTGTCTTCCTCTGTCTGGCTTATTTCACTTAACATAATACCCTCAAGGTCCATCCATGTTGTTGTGAATGGGACGATTTTGTCGTTTTTATGGCTGAGTAGTATTCCATTGTATATATATACCATATCTTCTTTATCCAATCATCAGTTGATGGGCACTTAGGTTGCTTGGCTATTGTAAATAATGCTGCAATGAACATAGGGGTGCATGAGACTTTTGGAATTGCTGATTTCAAGTGCTTTGGATAGATAACCAGTAGTGGGATGACTGGGTCATAAGGTATTTCTATTTTTAATTTTTTGAGGAATCTCCATCTGTTGAGGTCCCCTGCCCATTTTTTGATCAGGTTGTTTCATTTTTTGGTGTTGAGTTGTGTGAGTGCTTTATATATTATAGAAATTAACCTTTCTCAGATATATGACTTGCAAATATTTTTTCCCAATTGGTGGGTTGTTTTTTTGTTTCAATCCTGTTTTCCCTTGCCTTGAAGAAGCTCTTTAGCCTGATGAAGTCCCATTTGTTTATTCTTTCTGTTATTTCCCTTGTCTGAGAAGACGTGGTGTCTGAAAGGATCCTTTTAATACTGATGTCAAAGAGTGTACTGCCTATATTTTCTTCTAGAAGCGTTATGGTTTCAGGTCTTACCTTTAGGTCTTTGATCCATTTTGAGTTTATTTTTGTGAATGGTGAAAAAGAATGGTCAATTTTCATTCTTTTCGGTGTGGCTGTCCAGTTTTCCCAACACCATTTGTTGAAGAGACTTTCTTTTCTCCATTGTAGGCCCTCAACTCCTTTGTCGAAGATTAGCTGTCCATAAATGTGTGGTTTTATTTCTGGGCTTTCAATTCTGTTCCATTGATCTGTGCACCTGGTTTTGTACCAGTACCATGCTGTTTTGATTACTGTAGTAGTTTCGAAGTCAGGGATTATGATGCCTCCGGCTTTGCTCTTCTTTCTCAGGATTGCTGTAGCAATTCGGGGTCTTTTGTTGCCTCATATGAATTTTAGGATTCTTTGTTCAGTTTCTGTAAAGAATGTCATTGGGATTCTGATTGAGATTGCTTTGAATCTGTAGATTGCTTTAGGTAGTATGGACATTTTAACTATGTTTATTCTTCCAATCCATGTGCACGGAATGTCTTTCCGTCTCTTTATGTCATCAGCAATTTCTTTCAGGAAAGTCTTGTAGTTTTCGTTGTATAGGTCTTTTGCTTCCTTGGTTAAATTTACCCCAAGGTATTTTATTCTGTTGCAATTGTGAATGGTATTGTGTCCTTGAGTTCTTTTTCTGTTAGTTCGTTATCAGAGTATGGAAATGCTACTGATTTATGCAAGTTGATTTTATACCCTGCAACTTTGCTGTAGTTGTTGATTATTTCTAATAGTTTTCCAATGGATTGTTTGGAGTTTTCTATATATAAGATCATGTTGTCTGCAAACAGCAAGAGTTTCACTTCTTCACTCCCTGTTTGGATTCCTTTTATTCCTTTCTCTTGCCTGATTGCTCTGGCCAAAACCTCCAGTATATGTTGAATAAGAGTGGTGATAGTGGGCATCCTTGCCTCGTTTCTGTTCTCAGGGGGATGGCACTCAGTTTTTGCCCATTGAGTATGATGTTGGCAATGGGTTTGTCATATCTGGCCTTTATTATGTTGGGGTAATTTCCTTCTATCCCCATTTTGTTAAGAGTTTTTATCATAAATGGCTGTTGGATCTTGTCAAATGCTTTCTCTGCATCTATTGAGATGATCATGTGGTTTTTATTCCTCAATTTATTGATGTGGTAGATCACATTGATTGATTTGCAGATGTTGAACCATCCCTGTGTCCCTGGTATGAATCCCACTTGATCATGATGTATGATTCTTTTGATGTATTGCTGAATTCCGATTGCCAAAATTTTGTTGAGGATTTTTGCATCTATGTCCATCAGCGATATTGGCCTGTAGTTCTCCTTTTTTGTGCTGTCCTTGTCAGGCTTTGGTATCAGAGTGATGTTGGCCTTGTAGAAAGTGTTAGGAAGTGTTCCATCTTCCCTAATTTTTTGGAATAGCTTGAAAAGGATAGGTATTAAGTCCTCTCTGAAAGTTTGGTAGAATTTCCCAGGAAAGCCCTCTGGTCCTGGGTTTTATTCTTTGGGATGCTTTTGATTGCTCTTTCAATCTCTTTCCTTGTGATTGTTCTGTTCAGATTGTCTGCTTCTTCTTGAGTGAGCTTTGGGAGGTTGTAAGAGTCTAAGAATTCATCTGTTTCCTCTAGATTGTCCGTTTTGTTGGCGTATAGTTTTTCGTAGTATTCTCTTATAATACGTTGTATTTCTGTGGAGTCTGTTGTTATTTTTCCTCTTTCATTTATGATTTTGTTTATTTGAGCTTTCTCTCTTTTTTTCTTTGTAAGTCTGGCTAGGGGTTTGTCAGTTTTATTTATCTTCTCGAAGAACCAGCTCTTTGTTTCATTGATCCTTTCTACTGCGTTTTTTGTTTCAATAGCATTTATTTCTGCTCTGACTTTTATTGTTTCTCTCCATCTGCTGACTTTGGGCTTTGTTTGTTCTTCTTTTTCTAATTCAGTTAGGTGTCATTTGAGACTGTTTATTTGGGATTCTTCTTGTTTGTTAAGGTGTGATTGTATTGTGATGAATTTCCCTGTTAGTACAGCTTTTGCTGTATCCCATATGAGTTGGTATGGCATGTTATCATTTTCATTTGTCTCCAGATATTTTTTGATTTCTTCTTTAATTTCTTCAATGATCCATTGCTTGTTCAATAGCATATTGTTTAGTCTCCACATCTTTGTCCCTTTCTCAGCTTTTTTATTGTAATTAATTTCTAGCTTTATAGCATTATGATCGGAGAAGATGCTTATTATTATTTCAATTTTTTAAAATTTATAGAGGCTTGCCTTGTTTCCCAACATATAGTCTATCCTTGAGAATGTTCCGTGCGCACTTGAGAAGAATGTGTATTCTGCTGTTTTTGGATGGAGTGTTCTATATATGTCTGTTAAGTCTAACTGTTTTGGCTTTTCTTTTAATTCCACTGTTTCCTTGTTGATTTTCTGTCTGGATGATCTGTCCAATTATGTGAATGGGGTGTTGAGGTCCCCTACTATTATTGTGTTATTTTTAATATCTTCTTTCAGGTTTGTTAATAGTTGCTTTATGAATCTTGGTGCTCCTGTGTTGGGTGCATAGATATTTATGAGCATTATTTCTTCTTGATGGAGTGTCCCTTTGATCATTATATATTGCCCTTCTTTGTCTCTCTTTACCTGCCTTATCTTGAAGTCCACTTTGTGTGATATAAGTATTGTGACACCTGCTTTCTCTTATTTGCCATTAACTGGGAGTATTGTCTTCTACCCCTTCACTCTGAGCCTGTGTTTGTCATTGGAGCTGAGATGTGTTTCTTGGAGGCAACAAATTGTTGGATTTTGTTTGTGAATCCATCTTGCCACTCTGTGTCTTTTTGTTGGAGAATTCAGTCCGTTTACATTGAGGGTCATTATTGGTGTATGAGGGCTTAATGCTGTCATTATATCACTCATTTTCTCGTTTTTCTGTGTTTCCTTTGTTTCTTGTGCTGTGTGTTTTGTTCTTCCCATTGAATTGTGCATTTTTTTATGCTGTGTTTCTTAGTTTTTTCCTTATTTATTTTTTGTGTCTCTGTTC